AATATGAATAAATAAAGATCAAATTACAAATGGTTACACATACTCAAAAGGAAAAGCGCTCTTTCTTTCAAATTATTGCTTATTTGGCTTTCATATAAAAATGCACACTTACGCTAAATTACGTTTATAAAATATATTAGAAAATTTATCAAATATGTTGTATGTCCAATTGCAAAAACTTGTAACAAACGTTTTTATTATTTGTCAGTAAATGCAATTCTGCAAAACGTGACGAATTAAATAATAATAAAAGAAAAAACAAGTAACTGCATTAAGAAACGAACAGAAAAGCATATTATGTAATTTGCTCTTACGTCTAGAGGCAGTTCCACTGCACTTGCACGAATCTTAAAATTCTTTATAAGTTCAGACATCAATCGCTTTTAAGGCAGGGATTTTTGTATCATTTTTTCGGTTTGTATGATATACTTTAAGACCACTTAATAAAAAAACGTGAGGCGAGCTACGGACGTTCGAATAAATGACTATTGAGTCAAATATTAGATCGATTTATTGGACGTAAGTTATTGGTAAAAGTAAGTTTTTCCGACGGTGTTTCATATTTTCGCTCATTCTATCTGGAATTGAGGAGTGCATTAAACAAAAACTGATGTGAAAAATATTGGATTTGCTTGTCGGTTTCTGGAATGTAAGAATTCTTATAGCAGATAGCTATATGGTCGAACATGACTATTGCCTACGGCTGTAATTCTCTAACATTTCTTGGGGATCTAATATAAATTTCCTGTGACAAAAGTGACAAAAAAGCTATTATTTTTTTGTAGTTTTCGACCATTCCCATTTTGTATCTCTCGTGGACCGTATAATACATATAAACTTCTAATCAGCATCCGATTTGACCATAACATCTTAAGCCTGTGGTTTTTTTTCTTATATATAAAAAATAACTAAATTTAAATCAGCTTCCTAGAACGCTTAGCAGATGGACCGAACATATGTATAAAGAAATTACACAAAGCTGCTTTAAATACAAAAGTCTTTCTGCATGATTTGTTAAGTAGCACAAATGTAAGTAAATGTGAACGAAAGTAAATAATTTTAATTTTATTCTGAAGTTGAAGGACATTAAAACAGTGAGAAAGAGGATATATACCATGCTGATATCGATTAAAAGATTTTTGTGTTATTATTGCAATAAGTGACGTAATAAAGCCGTCACATCAACCTTTAATTAATATCATATTATTTGGTACTTAGTTGAAGTTTGGATTTCAGCTTTATTTGCGAACGGGATATATTAGCACGAACTATTTACTTATTGATTTAAAAATAGTACGTGTATTCCTATGGATTCCTACACCATTATTTATACAAAAAAGTAAGAAGTTATTAGAATGTACGCAATCTATGCGACGTACGTGGAATATAAAAATCTATAAATGTAAGCCTCCGATTGAAGTTATATATCACAGCGTGGCTTGAAAAATAGGTTGTTTATTAGGGTCTACAAAAAGTTGACGTCATTAGATAAGTAACGATTTGGTATGATTTTTTTTTTTGGTAATTTCATAATTTTTGTTTATAATGGATTCACAACCCAGTAATAAAACTCTCTAGAGAGACGACTTTAACCTCTTCTTCAAGAATTTATTTTGCTATTTTTGCAAAATTTTAATAATGTCTATTATACTGTACTGGACAGACATATAATTGATTGAAAAACGACATCACATAAGGGATCTTATTTACAGTACTCCCACGTAGAGTTTCTGCTTATTACTATTGCATTTGTTTTCAATATGTTAAATATGATTGAGGAAGATTAACTTTTTGTCTAATATATCTCCCAAGTACTTAATGTAACCAGAAATTTCATGACCTTGAATCATTAAGTTTTGTAAAGTTGGAGCAGAAAACCGAATACAAATTTGAACCCAGAATAAATCCTTGTAGAACACGAGCGATAAGGACTAAATCAGAAAATTGATCTAGAAAGGAAACGCTGAAATCTCCTTCAGACAAAAAGCTAAGGACCAATTTAACTGCGTGAGAAGCGCAAAATCAAGAGATATTATTTTAAAAATATAAATATTATGCCAAAAGTAACTAAGCTAGTGGATCTTTTAGTCGTAAATTTGCCTTTAAAGTGCTGCCGTATTTGGACTTTTCGGTACAAAGTATTATATTAAGCCGGCTTCTAAAACCCGATTGGTCTAACTAAGCCCATGTATAGCCTTTTTGTAATGTTAGGATCCTTAAGCTCTTAGGCTACCTCCTAATGCAATCTAGCGCGGACCTAGCTTTACTTAAAAAAGCTCAATGCGCAAAAATAAAACCTAATCTTTGGTCTATGATAATTTTTGACACTAATTATATTCCCTATTTCGTTAGGAAGTGCAGCAAAATTATGTTTAGGCATTTAGAGCTCAAATATAACGCTTATTACTTTCACACTAAATAAATTAATAAATTAGTAATCCCCTGCTGCTGGTATGGAGCTTTGTTAAGCATTAAACGAACCATTAAATCATCGGTAGCTTGTCCAATTAGCTAAACAGTTGAGACAATTATTATTCCGCACTTGATTGAATAAACACTCTCTCCTTCAATACGTTAAATTTCAAATTCCAAAATCTTGCTGGTTATTTTAAACCATGAGGGCTCATCTGCAACTAATAGACTTATCATTCCATTTTCTCTTTTATTCAGGACGACGTTTAATATGAATGTTTTCTTGTAGATCTCAGTTTACGAAAGAAATGGTGAAAAATGTTCTTAAAGCTTTTTAACTTACACAATCAGCCCGAAATCTTCTTTGGCGTAATGGTGTCGAAACGCTATCAATACGCGCACAACTTAAAGAAACGCGGTCAAAGCAATGGTGTCTTCCCAAGCAAAGCTTGGAGATGTACGTATTTTCCCGAGAGGTAGTTAATTTGAAACTTACGTTTGTCCGCCTGGCTACCAGTTATTAAAATATTTAGAAAATCTTAGAAGAAAACGGCTCAAGCCTTATCGACATACATGCTGTCAGTTTGATACCTAAATATAGAATTGCACGATTGGCACTGTATACACGAAGTCATTTAAAAACGCAGAGGAAACAAGGATGTTGACTAATCTAATCACACAGGTGGTCTTAAGAGGCTAATCTCCGTTTCTGAAATTCGTGTTGAAGGTTGAAGAGCGTTGGTCGACGGCTTAAATTTCGGTATAATAATTCAAAACTTACCTGAATTGTGTTCATTTTTATTAAAACTCTGTACCCTGAAAAGAAGCCCGTTACTTATTTGTCAAGCTCTTTAAGACGTTAAATAACAAATTAATTAGTTGAAACGATATGCTATTCTATTATTCAATCATCATACTAACAAAGCGATTATAAATTTAATATATCCGCCTGAGTAGCCGAAGGCGAGGAATCTCCACTAGCAGCAAGTCAATGGTCGTGGGTTCGAATCTCAAGTGCGGTAGAGTTTTTAATAAAAGCCGATAGCCTTAGATGCTAGTGCTTTTAAGAGTTTAGTCTTCTCTGGCGAAATTAATAATAATAATAATAAATTTAATATATGCGGATAAAGCGGCCGGCAGATTTTTTTTGCACTTACTACCGATTGATGGAAGGATACCAGGGGTCGGTTTACGGTTCTCTTTGTCGAGCAAACTCGATATAGAATTTGCATTTTGAATTAATTGTTCTCGTTAACGGGAATTCCGTTGATGGCACTAAATAGAGTATGACAGTTTGTTTGATATCAAGTGCAATATATCATATTTTAGCTCAAAAGCAAAATAGCTATCGTGATTCATCTCTATAGGGAAAATAAATTAAAATATCGTAGTAAAAGAACATATTTGATAGAATTAATGGACATAGGAAGATTACTTAAGCTCTTTAATTCCAAAATGTTGGCAAAAATATCAAATGAAGTAAAAAATCAAATAAAATATTTTCGACGCCTTTACCTGTTGCTGTCATAAAACATGAAAAGGGACAAATGAACACGGAATTACCTAAAAAATTCCTGGGAACAAAAAAACGTAGAAGTACAGGATTATTAGAAGATATTTAAGAAGTATTGTAGGCACGTGATATTTAGGGGCTGTTTGGGCAGACTACGGACAGACAAATTTAATATAGAAATTGTAAATATCATGCTAGCTATTATGCAAAGAACAATTAGAAAATTTAAATAAATAGTGATATATTTAATTCAATTAACTAAATTTTGTTTAATATATATTCAATTTCTTTTTCAAACTTTATACTTGGTTTGTTTATTTATTTATTTTCCTTTCCCCCTCCTCTTTGCATTACTTTATTATATATACACCGACAAGATCGTTAATATTCCTAAAAAGCAATTGTACCATTTCATTTTTTTGTATCGTATGCTATGACGATAAAGAGCACCGTAAACTGATCTCCAAATTATTCTTTCATTTATATCGCACATTACAGGACCCATGAAGTATGTATGTAAATATATCTAAGTAGCGAAACCTATTAAGATGGTTTAGCCTCGTTCGATTGCCTTTAGTTGAAAATGGGCATGGTGCGCCTACAGACACGATTGCAATAGACGAAAATTTGTAACTTACAACCTATAATAGACATCGAAGCTTGGTACAAAAGTTTTATTGCTAATTTTCTACAGCCACCTAATAGACGAGTTTTAAAATCCATCAACGACAAAGTGGCAGAAGGTGGTGGGTACATCGAAGATTCGCCATGGGACGAATACAAGTTTTTTTTTTTTGTTTTTTATAAATACTAAAGCAATATATATGTAAAAAGTAGTTTACGTCAATAAGATGGATTAAAAGATACCACATCAAAAACTTTCAAATACTTCTTTTAAAAAAACAAAACGCCAGTTGCGTCCAACAGTTTTTAATAACGAAAATAAAAATTTGTTTATTACCTGACGTAAGACGCAAATCATTTACATTTATTTTAACACTAATCTGTAAGCTTAAATGTCGTATTGGAGGTAAAAGTTTATAATAAAAAGAAAAAAATATATTAATATATTTTAATGGATATCATTTTACAAATCTTAAAAGTTATACAGTACGGCGTGATCTTGCTTAGACCACAAACAAAAATGAAAATAAAAGTTTTCTTCATTTCTTCACTTTTCCGACTATGGCTGAAATGGCGTCTAGTTTTAAAATAGATTCATTTTACTTTTGAGGGAAAAACAGCGAACGTTGGTAGTTTAAGCTACTCCGTTGCTTTTCCCATTAGATGCTATTATTAGCTCTGCTTGCGAAGAACCGTTCACAAAACAACCGTTAGCTTGCTGCAAGTGTTCGCTATGACCGTTCAATTTTGAAGTGTTGATTTTAGTTGTCATTTGTATTTCTTCATCTGAGGATGCATCAGACATTTGTCGAGGTGATAAATGGCAACCACGGGCAATATATTTTGATAGGCCTTTAACCGAGGCCAAAATTAAACCTAGAAAAGGTGGCGATGGCTTCAGAGGACGAGACAAGTATTCAGGGTGATATTGTGTGGCCACATAAAATGGATGATTTTGTAGTTCCACAATTTCCATACGCTCGCCGCTTTCATCAACACCCACAAAACGCATGCCTTGCTCCTCTAGCTGGTTTACGTATTTGAGATTTACCTCATATCGATGACGATGTCGTTCATCTACCGATTGCGGGTTACCATACAACTGCTTAACGATGCTGAGTTCGCTTTTGAAAATCGTCTTTCGTTTACCCAAACGCATTGTACCCCCCATTTCAGTAGAATGATGTTCCGGCATATCAACTACCAATGGATGCTCGGTAGTTGGATCGATTTCAGTTGTGTTGGCTTTTTTCAGATTTAAAACGTTGCGGGCGAATTCAATAACAGCTGCCTGTAGTCCCATGCAAATGCCAAGCAAGGGCCTGTTATTCTCACGACACCACTTGCAGGCGATAATCTTGCCCTCTATGCCCCGCGAACCGAATCCTCCCGGCACAACAACGCCATCACTTTCGCATAAAAGTTGCCAAACTTTGTGATAGTTGGAAGGATCCTCTGTCAACGTTTTAGACTCTAACAGTTCGGAGTATATGAAGTTTAGCTTCAACTTGTAGCCCACTTGCAAGGCGGCATGTTGCAACGCCTTTATAACTGAATCATAGGAATCTTTAAATTTGGTATATTTACCTACCAGAGCTATGGTGACTTGCTTATGCAGTTTCTCTGAACGGCGCGTCAAGCTTTTCCAACGTTGCAAACAGCTGAAAAATCGTCATATTAGTAACGTTTTCACCGTTATTTAATATGTAATAACCTAAATTTGTGTGTTATATAACAAAATGAAAAAAGACAACAAATAATGCTTAATAAAAAACACGAGCTGAAATATGATCACATTTTTTCCAAGCCCGCTGGAATAATTCAGCTAATATTCAACCCTCCTCCTATTTATTGGTGAGGTTTTTAAAGTGAAATTGCAAAGCGTACTCATATACTTTTTAAGGTCTTCTTAATGCTTTTCCTAATTTCAATACTTTTTCTTCATTGCAGTTTTTTTTATGTAAAATACAAATTAATAAAAAAAGTCGAGTTTTGCATGTATTGAATCATTATTTGGGGCTTTTAGTCCATCAACAAGGGCTTCTTTTTAAACCACATTGAGAAGTAATTAAGACAGTAATGCTATTGGTCAAAATTATATAAATGAATAAAAAATATATTTTGTAGAGCTACTACAAAAGTTACTTTAGATTCGCCAGGGGTCTGTACTTAAAGTATATATACATATATGCGTGAGCAATGGAATCCGTCAAACTTTATTTTTCTATTTGTTCCTGAAATTAGGATTAGAGCCTTAAGATGAAATTTAACTTAACGTCAAATTTAAAAATCCCTAAATTGGCGCGTCTATCATTAACGAAAACCTCTACTGTATTATGGTATCAAAATTGCGTAGTTTTTCGTTTGAACTTTTGTGTTTGCTCCGATTAAAGTCGTTCGTCTTAAACTCGAATTTGATTTAAACCGAAGCAGAGGCTTCAGTTTGCATAATAACCGACGAGATGCTACCAAATTTCGTATTACATATGAATTGATATATATACGATTTGAATACATACGATACGCAAGTTATATATAAACTGTGATTAGTAATGTATACATTTGGAAATACGCTACATAACGAAAAGCTGGATATTCGCGAGCCCAATATAATTTGTTACTGATTACCTTTTAAAATATTTGAAAATTACTTACTTTTCCCGTTTTTCCGGTCGTATACTCAATTGTAAACGTTCTTTCAGAAATTCAATAACACCATGCTGTTCCATAAGTAGAGGTACATGATAAATGGAACTTAAGTCATGCACGCAGATAACTTGCTCTGGAGCCACATGACAAAAATCACTAATCTTTTTTTTAACCTCAATTCCTATAGGTTCCTCAGAACGACAAACAATCAAATCTGGACTTAAACCAAAGCCCCGTAATTCTTTCACCGATGCTTGGGTTGGTTTTGTTTTTGGTTCACCCGTTGAGGATGGTGATGGTACCAATGAAACGTGAGCCACACAAAAATTCTCACGTTTGACGTGGAATTGAAATTGTCTGAAGGCGTCCACGAATGGCATGCCTTCAATGTCACCGATTGTGCCACCTAATTCGACTATACACACCTCTGGCGTTATATTGTCACGCACCGGATGTTGAGCGACACGTTCAATCCATTCCTGGATTGCATCGGTTATATGCGGTATGACTACAAAAAGGAAGTATAAAAATATGTTCAAATAATACAATAAACAAAAATAATTTCCTTTTGTTTAGTTACCTTGCACTGTTCTGCCTAAATATTCGCCCCTGCGCTCCGCCTCAATAACTAATTTATAGATTTTACCGGTCGTTATGTTGTTGTCGCGATGTAACGTTATATCTAGGAAACGTTCATAATTTCCTAAATCCAAATCTACTTCACTGCCATCATCTAGAACGTAAACTTCACCTAAAATATAAAAAATCAAATGAGAAGAAATCTTTCAAAAGGTAGCCAACAAAGCCAAGAAAGTACTTTTATTACGCATGAATATACGAAATAATCCGAGGAAAGCCAACCAAGTGTACAGCAAGTTTGTGGTGCAATGCAAAAAAAAAAACTCAAGTAAACCTAATGATACTATTATTTATGGAAGTGAAACACGAAAAACATTTTGGAATTTGTTTCGGTGTGGTGCTCAATGTTCCGTAGAAGCCGTTTCTAACCAACATTTAACACATCGCTTTATAAGTTCATGCAATTTGCATACAAACGCCGCTACTAGTGATGAATTACATATAATTTTTAGATAATACCAGCCTTTAAACGAAATATATGAAAATTTCGTGGCAATCCGACCATTAGTTTTTAAGTTACAATTGTTTAAGTGATGTTTAAGACTTTTCTACTCCCTAGACTTTACGCAGAAGATCTCATAATTTATAAAATCTATATAAACTCTTTACTCCTATGTCCAGTCTGTGGTAATTTATAGTAAATCTTCAAAGGAGTGCTAGACGACGACTTTTAAAATGACGACAAGAGAGATCTTTGCTCGTTCTTCGTCGCATATAGTTGTCATCAATATGTGTTTGTGGTATTTTTGTTTGTAATTTTCCTTCAAAACTGCTTCATATTAACATATATGCATACATATATATATAAAACTCATTATTTAAATTACAACAGTCCTCGTCTAAACGTATGCAAAGCTATACATATGTGGCCGCAATTAATCATCGTTCCGAATTTTAACGAGATATTTGCCATTATTCGCAAGCTCTCGATTTCAACTTTTTCCACCTATTGTGGGTGAAGGATGTCAAACTTGATCTATGAGACTCAACAAAGAGTGCGTGCATAACAATGTTTAGTTCTTTATGAATTATCCATCGCTTGTGTTTTTGAGGATTCCAACAAGATGGATTGAACACTTCTACGCATAGCTTTTGATATCTACTTATTGACACAAGCGAACTACACCGTTCAATACAACGAAGCGGACATGTTCTGTTCGCAACAGGTCTAGAAAATTTGTCTTAATTTTAGAATGACTAACTTATGTGATTGGAAGGAACGGAAAACTTTCAAAACATGTTTGACAACAGACTTACCTATCATCTAGAATTAGATGAAAAACTCGAATGATGCAATCAATTCAAAAAATTTTGGATTGTGAAAGTTATGTTTTGAAAAGTAAATATATCTATAGACAATAGTTTTTATTGTTTTTTTTTTCAAAATAAAATACGCTTACATTTTTGAATAATATAATACCTTTTCTAAGAATGAGAACAATTAGCCTTTACTTCATGTTTAATAATTTCTTTGTATTTAAAAGTAACTTTTCTTTTTTAATAAAATTTTTTATCTTCTTTCCAATGTTTCCTTGTAAAGCTTCAAAATCCTAAAACAATTTTTACAAAATTTATCAAATACCTTTACAAGCGCCTACAGATACATGAATGTATATATTTACAGAATTAGTAATGTCTACATATATATTATGTATGTGTATTCTGTTAACACAATTTATTCATTTAATACATTATATATGCATGTTACTATATATGTATTTATGCATTTGCATTATTTGTGTATGTATGTATGCATGTACGCGGGTATGTATCTATGTATATAGGTATGTATGTATTTATGTATATTTACAATAACACCGCAACTAAGTTAACAAAACTGCCATTGAGGAATGAAAGTGAAATTTAAAATCCTCTTCATTTAAGATTTAGTAAATATACATCATACATGTACACGTATGAATCTGGATAGACATATATTAATATGTTATGGGCAATACCGATTGACTTTGGTTGATTTATTTATTTGCTCTCCTCTAAGTCCTCTTTATAAAGTTCTTTGAAAATAAGTTTTTGTATTTTGGTGCGTATACGCAACTTTTGTGCAGCGGTTAATTGCTTCATATACGGATGCAAACTTAACAGATAGTGATAATCATCGTCTTCGGGCACTAATGGCGGATTGGTGGTGGCGATGGTCGTAGTTGTGTCCATGGTGGATGAACCATTATAATTGCTATCCTCTGAGAGGCGGGGGCGTTTGAGTTTCAAAGCGGTTATTAAGCCATTTGAATAAGAATGCTGGGTAAAATTCAAATGCTCATGGCTTCCGTGCAAACAACTGCTGGCGTTAAGGGGGAAATCGTCAGCACGTTCTTTACTCATCAATACAGTGGGCGGTGGATGATGAGCTTTATTGTAGAGAGGGGGCGGCGATACTGAACGTATTTTCTGTTGGGCTGCAGCTGCAATACATGTGCTGGGCAATACTAAAGTATTAGGCAGTATGGTTGGTGGTGGTGCTTGTACTAAAGTAGCGTTGCCATTCATAGTTGCTAAGGTGGCTGCTACTAAAGCCGTAGCGGTAGCATGAGCAATCGGGGGAGTTGTCTGCTGATAAGGACTTGAAGTCGACACTACTGCAGCTGCTGCCGTTGCCGTCGCAGATGATGATGACGATGACAACGATGAACATGAAGATGGTGATGATGAGGATGATAATGTTGTACTTGTTACAGAAGATACTGTTGTTGATAGAATGGAAGTTGTATTTGAAACATTGCTATTGCTGGTGGTGATGTTGGTGTTAGTATATGACGGTGATTTTGAACTATCCGCTGTTTTCTTTGACAAGTCCTGAACCTCTTTCTCAATATTTTTGAAGAGATTTCGGGCATTTTCCGTTTTGATTATGGTACCAGTAACAGCATTTGTTACCGGTTGTGTATGCGCCGCTGGTGGTACGTTAGCGTCTACTTGCTCGTCCTCATCTTCTTCAACGTCATCCTCATCAAAATCTTCATCACTGTCTTGCATACGACGTATTAAGCCATTTGTGAGATCTGGTTCCACTACTGTCTTTTCGTAGTCTTGACTTTGTTGGGCAAAAAAAAACGCCTGATCTTGTTCATTTTTCGGCACACGATGACGCATATGTTCCGCTAAAAATTGAGATATCTATATCAGCGCTGTAGTTTTCAGAGACTTGTTCTAAGTAAACTGATTTTACTGCAAGAACCAATTTAGAACTTTCATGTTTACATTTCAAATTTGCTTTTCAAATAAAAGTCCATCTTCTTTAATTTTTTAGATTTTATTGTTGATTCTCGCATTATAGTAGGAAAGGAGTAGAAAACTTTATACTCACTCAGAAATAATAAAGCATAATAGTGAATCCATTTAGATTCGAAAGTGGCCGGTTCTACCAGAAATTCACCATTTTCAGAGCGGGGTATACGTTTGTATTCAACGCGAAAGTTATCACGTAAACCTTTCCACTTAGCTTTTAGAACCACCTCTAATTAATCGTAATCGAATCATTAATTTTAGCGATGATGGCCATACCAGTTATAAAATAGAATAGAAATTCACAGTTCAGGGGGTATTTGAATTCATTCCAATACCACTAACACTTACTCGGCAAATTGTGCTCAGTTGATAATTCGTCCCACATCTGTTCGAGGAAGGCTTTGTTGCAATGAAAATTACGATTCCATATAGCTGGACGTTGCTCAACATCACGGATGAATTGCTCAACATTTAGAACAATTGTGGATTTTTTCGGCGCCATCGCTGACAATTGCTTTTTTAACGTCCAAACTACAAACAGTAGCAGTATTTACTTTACCACTTTCTTCCTTTAAACACAAGCTAGCACCGCTTGCGACTTTAAGGCAATAAACAAACAATATCCTCGCCCTTTTTTACTTTTTCTATTCCACAACCCTTTTTCAGCAAAATGCTTATTGACTCACTTGTAAGCAGAGTTTGACTAAGTTGATGAAATTCTGATGGCAGCACATGCGAAACAAATGCGATATTGTTGGTGGTGTTCTATAGTTCATTTCGATATTCATGTTGATGTTGTTGTTGGAAGGAACACACAAGGAGTACACAATGAATATAAGAAGAAAAAAATCGCCACAAAGTAAAAAAAAAATTTGGTGAGCAATCAGCAACGCAAGCAACAGTAACAGAAGAAAGAGAAATAGACGAAGTAAATTGTAGTAAAAAACTACATTTGAGGAAAAGGGAAGAGAGTTGTACACCCAGAGTTATAGGAACAAACTGCTTAGCATGTGCTGTTTATTATGATGATGATGATGATGATGATGATGATGATGATGATGATGATGATGATGATGACGGTGAAGGGACCACAATGCCAACAGCTACAGTATAGTTTTTATCATCAGCCAAACGGCCATAATGAAACGCAAGCAGCGATAACCAAGAACCAAGTCGTAGAAGAAAAAGCTTCAAATAACTTTTCAGCTACGTTACTCCTTCAGCTCAATGGCTATTATTGTGTAGTTATTGTCATTAATGTTGATTGGACTCCAGCCAGTGAGTTGAAATGGAAAATATTTATATGAGGGTAGGTAGGCAGTCAAAAGTGTAAGCAAGCAGCCAACATTTATGCAGTCAGTCAACCAGTCAGCCAGACCAACAAAATAAATGAACGTGTATTTATACAAGCATTTAAAAACACACTCTCGCACATACGTCAATGCATAGAAGCACACGAAATCTATAGGAAAAATAAACCCAACAATATACAACTCACACAGCGTGTTTTATTGAAAAACGTCAACCATGCAAGCAAACACAACAAAGCGGGCAGGCAGCAGGCAAGTAAACAACAAGCAAGAAAAGCAAAGCAAAGTAACCAACAAAGCAGACAGTCAGCCGGGCAAGACATGCAGGCATTTACAACGCACACGTACATTCAGTAACAACCGCAACAACAATGACAACAACAAATATAACAACAGCTCTTCAACATCATCATCATCATCATCATCATCACCACCATCGCCGCACTGATTGTCAAAGTAGACATCATCAAAAGCAACAACAGCCCCTACACGATAGCAGCATAGTATAGGAGAAGTATAATAAGTATAGAGTGGAATAAGAAGGAAAGCGTGTTTAAGCTTAAGCTCACTAGCACAAAATTCATCAACAGCCATCACGGAGCAGGAGCGGAGTAAAATAATTTAAAAAAAATAAGTGTAGCAAAAATGTGAACGCACATCAGCAGAACAGCAAAGCAACAAAAATATCATCACCATCGTCATCACCGCCACCACCGCCAACACCACAGCTATTAGCTGCAATAACAACACTAACGTCTTACACTAGCATATAATATAACAGCAACGATAACTTTGTCAAAGCTTCATACGTATATATCTACCATATATACGCTTAAATGCACGTGTATGTGTACAAATTTGTACATTACTACACTTGTATATCGTTAAAAACGTTTTATATATGTATGTCAAAGCGAAAATTGAGTTAGAATCTTCATCGTATTCAACTAAATCGAAATGTTGCACTCGACTTAAAAAGCAGGCCTATTCCATCCAAACTCTTTATATCAATGTAGTATTTTGAGACACTTATAACTTAGCTAATTGTGTTGGGAAACATTGAATATTGCAAATTTTTCTCATATAAAAACTTTTTGGAAATGAGGCGTCATATGAAAAATATGGTCGTGAAAACGATCCGAATCCAGTTTCGATAGCGTTCGTCCTTGGCCTAAAATACGTAAATGTACCAAGATTTGTCAAAATATCTTAACGATTGTCATCTGTACGTTACGTACGAACATAAGTACATGAACAGATTAGAGAGGACTTGATTTTTCCCCAATCTTCTACCGAAAAAGTTTGTTCATACATCAATTTATCGAAAATGCCCATGCAGGGCATTTCTCTTTAAAGTACTATTTCCGGAGTAGTTTTATTGGCGGCTTTGGAAAATCGTGTTTCGAGAAGGACGCGATTGTAATGTGAAAATATATAACAAACGCGTTTTTTTTTACTATAATACGTTTGTTTTAAACTAATTATTACTATTGCTTGCAATTCCTCGATCATAAAACTGCGCTTTCGTGTTCAAATGTCGTTCTTCCTTCCACTGCCTCGAAGTTTTTATCTTACGAGAATTTCGTCTTTGCTGCATGTGTCAAAAACAGAACGGTGCACTTTCTAACCTCTACGTATTGGCAAATAAAAAAGTGAATGGCAAGAGAATTTACAATTCTATTGACAAATTCATAATTAACATCAGAAGCTTTATTACATATTTTTTTATTTTTGGGCAGCGTTGCTTTGCTGTTTGCTTTCGAACCGCTCTCAACTGTTATATTCATTCAACCATCGTCTATTGGTTTGGAAATGCTTTTAAATGAACATAAATGTTTTGTGAAGGAGCTGGACGTCAATAGGCAAGAAATTAAGCTGCAAACCCTTCAGCAGGGGTTTACTTGATACAGGTACCTTTTTTGGATGTTTGGGGCGAGTTCGAAATTTCCAAGAAAAATCTTTTTCAATGAACGAATGAATTCTTTTTTTCCTTTTTATTTTAAAATTTTTAAAGTATACTTTAAGTCAATAAAAAAAAACTTATTTCATGGAAGATGGACAGCTATGATCTCCGTTAAGATAATATGAAACCAAATTGTGTTTTAATTTGTCTTTATATTTCAATTGACAAAGTCTACGGTTTAATCATCGAATACGTACACTTGTTCTTAAAAAACTATCAAAAATCTTAATAAAATTCCTAGGTAACCAGAGGAACTTTAGGTACGCCGGCATCGACTTTTGTTAAATTACTTATAAAAAAAATTGAATTTAACTATATAGTGAGAACGTTCGTAACAACTCGAATTGCCTGAATACGCATTATCTTTCGAAAATGGGCGCATCTGCAATGAATAAATAGTGTATATTGAGTAAAGCGTGGATCCTGTATACCTACCTGTATGAAGGAAAAAACCGATGGTGAATAATGCCCTGCTTTTCTAAAAAAAACACGGAAAATTACTTGACCCACACTCCCAATTCAACAAGGCGGTGCGCAACATGACACGCAGCCCATAAAAAGTAGAATTGTTGAAAAAAAATTTGGCAACGGCTGGGTGAATATAAAATCGAAAGATTTCCATGAGACGACAAATTTTTAAATGCTAATCGGTTTATAAAATGTACAAAGTGAACCCTGCTCACATATGGACTTGCATGGTCTTCACCTTAAATTTGTATAAGAGAATATTGGTTATATTAGAGTATGTGCACCTACGGCTCAGTTGAATTTAAAAGTAATGCAACATATTGCATCTTTGTACGAAATGCATAAAAACGAAGGAGGGACGTAAACATAAAAGTACCGAATTGAACGACAGCAAGAAACGTAAGAACACTTTAATTTAGAAAACATCATTTCCGGGTTCAGAAGACGGTTTACGAGTACCAAAAAGAAAGCAATATTTAGCAACTCAGCCACATTTCAATTAATTACAATTTGGTTTATGGAATCGCTCTCTTATATATTGGACGCGCATTTACTTCGCTTTTTTATAGAGTTTGAATTTCTTTTCGCAAGGTATTAACGTCAGAATAGGAAATTGCTTCGCTAAGAGCGAAGAGACTCAAGCAAAAGAATTGTTAGCACTCAACAACATATATATTGAAACATACACTCTCTTATACTAAAAAAAGGCATCTAAACAAACAAACAAAGCAATAACAAATAACATTAACATGCTAATCGTTAGCTTAATTCAATATAAGCGACCTTTTGAATGCAGCTGCTACAGCTGAACTCCGTCAAACTGATCAAGACAATGATGGTTGACTGTTAATCATAACTAAAACCTTGATCGAGAAAATAATGATCATAAGGTATGGATCATATTCTTTTATGGTAAAGAACAGAGACATTTCATAACAAACTTCACAAACTCCACAACAGAAACAAATTTAAAGAAATTAATCAACAAAAAAGAAAAAATGCGTTTTATTTATTTATTTATTTATTTTTTTTTTTTGAAGGCTTAACAACAGGAAATGCTGGTTTAAGTGTTTTTTACACAGCTTAGTTACTGATTTCAAACTAAGAAATAAAAAATTTATGTTAAGGCTTGAAGCTGTGGAACAAAATGCATTTATATATTATGAAGAAAGCAAAATCAATGGTGATAATGGACAGAAACGTGAACGTAGGAAAAGTGTTTTAAAAAAGCAGTACGTTTTCAAACATGACGAGGCCTAGTGTGTTGCAGAACCTAAATGTTGATAAATCACTATTTCGTTCGTTGCAGAGCATTTACGATAAGAACGCAGTAAACAGTACAGCTGGGTGAACTAAAGAGCGAGACGGTTTAATAAAAAGAACGACAGCCAACAGTCAGGCAGCCAACCAACCAACACTACTTATTTACAACAGCAGCCAAAAACCATTAACGCAAAGTATTAAGTAAACGAGCAGAGAAATACATAACGAAAAGTGTACACAACACCAATAAAAAAATAATGAACAAAAAAGAAAAATAATAAATAAATGAAAAAGGCACAAAACACGTCCCTGACAGTGTGTCTTCATATTTGTCATCCACAGCGTCGCCAACAAGCAGTCGCGGTAGAGAAAATAAAACTGAGAAGAACAATACAAGAAGAACATCATCATCATCATTCGGTTTCGCCGACAGTCACTCAACTGTTCGTTCTCTCTCTCTCTTCTTTTAATCCTCGATGCCCGTCTGGCCTGATCGGTCGATTATTAACACAAATTATATACGTATATAAGGTTAGCGGTCGATGATATGCTTCACACTCAGCCAACCATTATTTATGTCTGTCCTTATATAAATTGGCAAAATAGTACACATTCAAAGTTTGCATATAAAATTCAACCACTAGAGAGCGAGTTGCTAACTAATACCTCACCACTCACAACATTTGTTAATCACCAATTTTTATATTGTCTCATTTTTTATTTCGTTCGCTTTACTTTTTTTCTATTTATTTATGGCGTGGTTTCAGATGATAATCAAAAATTTGCGCGCGTACAGCTTATTTTTGACTAAAACATTTGCTTAAACACTTTGACGCGCGACTTTTTGTCACATTTATTATCGAACGTGTTTACTTAGGCTTTTACTTTTCTCTTTTGTCCAACATTCAAAAACTGAATGATTTGAAATTATGTGGATCCAAGTGAATATTTGGCCAAACATTAAATCGGGATTTGCTGCAGATTGTAAGTTAAAGCTTCTTCATTATTATGAGCGTGATATAAGCAACTGACCTTTACTTTCAAATCCGATAACTGGCTATCAAGCAACGATATGTAGTCTTAGTAGTGTTAGTTCCTGACAATAGACATATGTGAGGCGACTCAAGGCCTTACGAGCATCAAGAGTATATATATAATTATATGCATATGTATTGCACTTTAGGGTGTATCTTTGATACTCCCAATCCGAGAAAATGGAGAAAAAAAATTCGTGCAATGCTATCTTAGTCGTTAGTTTACTGACCGCGACAGTTTTTACGCTTCCTTTTTGAATGTATTAGTGGTAGAGTGGTTTGCTTTTTGCAGCTCTGTGTTTTATTGGTCAATCAATTTTCGCACTGAAGTTTTACGCGACAATGACAAAGGTGTCTACCAATTTATCAATATCAAGATCTGTTATGGATTGTAAATTTACCGTCTTCTGCCTACTATGGGCGAGTCATTTAATGTGTGGCTATCAACTGAGAGTATTTGGCATGCTTCAGCATGCATCTCAATTTACACATAAGCATTTTAACAAAAGATGACCGAGGAATAGAGGGACAGACAATTAGATGAACTTGATTAGATGGCTTTTTCCATATAGAGTTGACGTATGCACATACTCGGCTGATGGCTAAAACAATTCAAAAATTGATATTTTTAACTTACATTTCACAGCAGATGTCAGTTAGGAAATTAGTATAAAAATTTAAATGAACTAAGTTGTATTGCCCGTCCACGGACGCGCCCATAATAGTCTGCAAACTGTAACTCTAACGATCTGTAGGAAATATTTTTTTAAAAGTCCGTGTATTGGTTTAAAATATTTGTTTTGAGGAAATCTCGATTAAATGCAAATAATTATAGTGTCAAGCAACCACATTCACTTCAAATACATCCTAAAACCTCGAAATACTTCAAACTTACTTTTGATGAAAATTACCGCAAATTTGGATTAATAATGCTAATAACAAGATGTAGTTGGCTAAAGAAATGAACGAAGCCTTTCCGAGTTTATTCTAATATAGACTAGAATATGTGTCGGAGAGTAGATCCCAATTTTACATACCCCATGGACTTGTAACACATATTCATTCGTATTCATTCGTAATCAACGTGATCGACAGAATCGATTCAGACATATCTATCTCCCTTTCAGTCTGTCGCGATAATTACAACAATGACTTTAAAATTTAATTGAGAAGAACGAACGAACTTAACTTTATACTATTGTTAGCAAAAAAGACTTATAAAAAAATCTGAAAAATCTAATGCACAGATATCGATAAATACATGAGAATGGTAATTCGTACTAGAAACATTTTGAGAATATAAACTTAGTGTGATGTTTAATTACTTCAACGCATTGTTTTATATAACTAACATATATTAAATGCGACTTATCTTAGTATCTATAGACCGTAT